GATAAGCATGCAGGGACAAATCGATCTGCCTGAAAACAGAAAACTAATTTTACCTTTTCAATGTAGCGACGAGCTTCATGGTATACACTTCTTACAGACAGGCATCCAAATCTAAAATATGGACTCAATCTGCTCTGCTGGCGCGAAGACTTATTCTTCTCATCAAGGTCAGATCTTGAAACCTGTAATAGTCGGGTATAATTTAAAATCCTTACTGTACGCATATTGAAACGTATGGAAGAACCTAAATAGCTACAAGCTAAATATTTAAAAGTATGCATAACAATGAGAAAGTAGGGTATACTTCTTGTATTCCTTGATATTGTGGCTGGAATAGTTCATTGTCATGGTTGCAAGAATATAGTGGTGGTTGGGTGCAAAGTAAAATGTCTCAGAAAAAAAACCCTGTAGCTAGTAACCTATCTAACCTGGGAGCGGTGTGCCAGCGTCTTCAAAACTGACAATAATGGACAAGAAACTGCTCGACTTTTCAACCTAAGGGCCTTCGTAAGGAGAGTTGATAAGAAGACCCTTCGCCTTAGGTACTGTACTAACCTGTTCAAGGAAGTTGCTAAACTGTCTTAGTCCGTTATCTTCTCCTCCGAAGATCATTGATGTTAAAGGAATATTCTCTCCAAACCCCAGATCTTCTAATGAAGGTATTCCAAAGTCCAACCAATCAGACACAGGCGTTGTACATTTCATGAAATGTCGTGCTTCGCAACACTCTGCTGGAGGAGGTGGTTCACCAAGAGATGAGAACACACTCCGAAATTCTTTTAAGCTGATTGGAATATTCCCTCCATTATCATCAATGTATCTAATGTAAAAGAATTGTATTTGCGTGTTACAAATTATTTTTAATACAGGCGTTAAAATGCCTATACTACTTGATGCAGTATATCGCTTGACAACAGAATCCAACCCTATGCAATCATTGATTTCATAAGTATCATTTAAATGATTTTAAACTTTTCCGTGAGTACACGTACATGGCTACAAAAAACGCGACAGTGCGGAAAGCAGCACAAACAGTAGCAATACATATGAACATTTATAGCAGCGCTGGCTTTTTTAAAGGCTGCTACAATACTTTCCACTCAGCTAGTTTACACAAGCCTTGGAATGAAGTAAATCCATGCTGTAATTGTTCTTCTGAGATCGCAATGCAGTGTTTCAAATATATGTAATATCCTTAAAGTGTTCTCGTTAGTATTTTCCCCAAAACACAATAATCAATATACTTGCTACACATGTGGATATAGTGCTGATGCTTCATTATGTATTACCAAGTACAATAGGAAATCTAACAGACATGGGATAGAAAATGCCTAATATTTTACACCTGGTGGTCAGGTAATCAATTGCAGATACAGGTGGATTTAATTTAAGTGGTATAAGGCATCGCCATAGTTTTCACATCACTGGCTTTTTTATCCAGAGCATTTCCAACACAACACACTGTATAGTGTATACTGTATCTATTTATTCAAAGCACTTTTGAACTCTGTTAAAATCAAAACATCTTTTTCTTTCACCATGTAATAAATTTATTTAATCTAACCTTTCACCTTAAATTTAATGTGCATTTTCCGAAAAACTGTCACAAAAAAATGTGTGAAAAAATTTGCAGAAGCTGACAGCTAATCTGAAATTTAAGCTTAAAACACAATGACATCACAGGAAAGTTTATGTAGCATTCGATGTGTTCATCCACAAGAATTAAAGCATGAATTCTCTATTAAAGTTATAAAAAAATTTAAAAACAGTTGATTTTTACATTTTTTTAAATGTTTCCTTTGATTTTGATTAAAAATTGTCTATTCTCATGTGAAACTAAACCATTGTAAAACATTGTCAATGATTTAGTTCAGAATCTAAGGACGAGTAGGAAAATGTCTGACATATCTTAGGACTAAGCACACTAAGTCAGTATTATATGTATATGTATGTATAATATGTAATAACATGTATAATCTGTTGTACCAGAGATTTCCATACAGAGAGGTTTGAGGAGTTATGTTCCCTGAACAGAGGCTAGAGGCTAGGGCCTAGGGTTGCGATGCAGAAGAAACAACATGGCAATAATTTTCAGAATTCCTTAGTTCTTCTCAGACAAATCTATCATTTTCCCTGATGGAAGGAGAGAGGCTTGCAATTTTAGTCGCAAACATAATCTTTATAGGAATTTTATACAAAACAGTTATCTAAGGCATAAAAACATAAAGTGGACTACCCCAAAACAAGGACATTAAAAGATTATTTTTCAACGAACCAAACAGTTCTACTCAGAGAACAATTACCCTTGAAATTTTTTTAATAGTTTATGCCAAACATGATCCAATTCCCATATATTTAAATAAATATTCTCTAACACACAAAATTTTAATCCGCAAAACATTTATTGAGCCGCAAAACAGAATTTTTAAACATATTATATAAAATATCAACATGAAAATTATCTTACCGTTCAACATCAAACAATGTATGTGAAATATTCGTAGCAACTTCGACATTAGCAATGCTGGCAAGTGAGAGCACAACTTCCTCTCTTTCTCTCGAGTAAATATCACAATCTGTGTTAAACGTTAAACGAGATATGTTCCACTTCTCAAACAGAGTCGGCAAAACACGGAGTGGTGAGCCTTTCACGACAAATAAGCGAGAGTTGCACTTTAGCAGTTTACTGTTAAGATCGCTCAGAGACTGAAGTATAAACCTCCAGATTGTAGGACTAGTGTTTGTACTCAAACGCGTCAAAGCTTCGGTATCAATGATGTAAACTCCATAGAAGTTATCGCAGTCTTCCAGGCATTTCAACAAGGCAGGATTATCGTGTAACCTTAGGTCCTTTCTAAACCAATGAAGATGGCTTCGTTTAAAAAGCTGGACATCCGTCTCCATATTTTTTTGCATTTATTCTTTACTGAACCAAACAGTAAAGGAGCCTTTACTACTTACAATCAATCCATAAGACCATATATTGACAATATTGAACCAATTGAAGTTTTTATATAAATTCGAGACACTACAGGCACTAGCATAAAATAAAAACATAAACGAACGCGCGTGAATTGTACTGCTGTGCGATATTCATGTTTGATAACTTTGATTACGTAAGAGTTACGTAAGCCAGCTGAGTCTGACCTCTGAGGGACTGGAAGTTACTTTCATGAGAAACGTGCTGCGTAGTGCAGAAATTTTTATTTTACGTAAAGGTTGTCTTAAAGTTAATATATCCAATTAGTTGCAGATGGTTTCAAACAAGAGCTCAGGGACAAAGCTAAAAGAATCTTCTAGTGAAAAACTGTTAAATTAAGCAAGAAAAGCGTGGTTCTGTTTGTTTTGGGTGCGGTTGAGAGGGTGACCAAGTCGCTCAGACATAAGACATTATATCATACCGTGTTACATCTTATCTCACACATGAATGTTACGTAATAAGCATATGGCTTGACAAAATTTTTTTAAAAAAATACAATTATACAAGATAATGTTAAATATGTTTTGACCGTTAAACTTGGAGAATGTTAGAATAAACTAGAAGACGACAGCCAAAAAGTTTGCTCACAAAAAAGAACTTTGTTTGAATTTCGCATTAGAAATTTTTATTGGAAATATAGAATTTATTTCGAGTGTTGAAAAGAATATTTGTCAATAAAACACCGCATATTATATAACAAATTTCGTAATATCTTCCCGCTTAGAAATTAGGATAACACATGCACGTCTCGCCGCAACGTGCGACGAGATACAGCAGTCCATTATCATTACGTACAAATATACGACGGTATACAAGTAAAGTAAAGAACAGTGGGCAAAAAGCAACTAAAAAGAGGCTCAAGAGCTCCCAAATTTTCTCGCTCTACACCAACGATGGTAGCGCCTCGAGCCATGGAGCGCTATCCCCACTAATGTTAGTAATTTGAACCTCTCTATGTTAGTAATTTGAAGCAGTCTGTGCCTAGCACCTTTTTAGATCCAAGACCAAGAACCATGGGTACTGACTTGGCCAAAATATTAACAGTCCAACAAAACTATGGAAGATGGCTGTACGAGTACGAACATGCGTAATAATGTGACGAGGCTATTTTTGATCGATGATAATATTTATTATGGCATAAAAGAATGTAAATCACTTAAAATGAATACATCAAATATTTACAACTAATTGTACAAACTATAGTTAAAAATAACACCATGCATACATGCCGAGCCAGATGTTTGTTTTCCACCCAGGCTTTCAATAATATTTTCACCTGAGTTTCGAGATGATGCAGGTCTTGACCGCAAGTACCCAATTATAATTAAATATTAATTTCATGGATTGACCAAAATCTAAATTGTTTTCCTACAGCTACTATTTTATTTTATCACTCTAGTCTCTACCATTTCTGGTCATGCTTATTGCGCCACTGTGGGACTAGTCGAACAAACACTGATATATATTACTTGTTCTGTTAAATCGAGGTATATACTTTATCAAAACGTCAGGTTATTATATACTGTCACGTGGATTCGTGTGCAGATTGTACTATTACTATTAGAGAATACCGGTGTATATATTAGTCAAATCTATTTCATTCAAATCAAACTATGCCGATTACAGTAAAGACAGCGGATGTACATTTTACCTGAATGCATGCTCTCAAATATTTTTTATATACCGAATTGACATCATTTATTGCAAAACAGTCCTAAAAAAGTATTTTTCTCTGCCGGCTCTGTTTTCATTCATGTTATGCTTGTAGTCAAATTGTTCACAAACGCAAATAGACGTCTTTTGAAGGACAAAAAAGGTGGTTATGGTTATGCTAAATCATTGTTTTTTTCTTTGGCAAATATTCAAATGTTTCTGGTGAAACGTACATGCATCCGCTATCATTTCGGTAATTTTAGGTTTGCTGGTTAACCTCATATATTATATTTATTAGTACATAATAAAAATTGATTATATTATAAAAATTGGCTATACATTAAAAATTCTATTAAACTATTATGCGCTAATATAGACAGGAGGATATAATATATGAAGTTGCGTTACACAAGGCTTTCATCTCCTGACCAGTCATTGCGTCCATCCTCAGGAATCTATTTATAAAAGGTTGTCTTTTTTGAACGACAGGATTATGTATAGCGTAACTGGAGTGATGCGAGCGGGGGAGAGACCCTGAAATCATGAGTTGCGGTTGGTTCAAAGCTGATGTCGATGCATACAAATGAGCTTTAGCCACGTGTCCTGTGTGAGGTTTAATGAAATTATCGTTGACGAAATAGGACCCAGTACTTTCACTGTTACTCATTATTCCCAATTTACTAGGATAGTTATAACGCGCCGTCGTAATACTTGATCTATTCCTCGATGATGTGCTTACCCAATGACCTGCGGTTTTGTCAGAGGTAATGATTGTTGGTGGACTGTGCGTAACTTGAACATCGTCACTATTGTAGTCACTATCACTCTGTGAGGGGGACCCACCACCAATATAACGAACTTTAGTTGAACCAGCATATGTCGGCCCTGTATTATTATTCAATATTTCAGTTTTGAGCCCGCCAAATCTTTCGACGACTGCACGATTAACATTGTTCTGATATAGCCCCGGTGCTGAGCCACGCCTTCTATCATGGGGTCCAAGTGAAGACTCTCTCCTACTAAAACGACTTTCTGAATAAGACGGAGGCTGTGGACGAAGACTTGATGTGGAAGAGATAGATGAACTCGAATCGAGGCGAAGAAGGGATGCCGGATTGGAACTTTGTGATGGTACATTTAATCTTTTTTTGTAAAACATTTCGTTGATCGTGGTAGATGATGCAAATGCTGGTGTTTCATTAAATCTTGGATAAAAGGGACTTGCAAGTTCTTCGTTAGACGATGTTGAACCAGATGTGACTGTTTTGTCGGAAAGAAGTGTTGGGTTAACTGAATTATCTATTGAATTTGTATTGCTTGCTCTACGTTGTCCTGTAGCAGCCTCGAAGCTTGATCTTCGTGAAGATGGTGGCTTGATACTATCCAATTCTAAATTGTTAAAGAAAATTTCTAAATCACCCAATACGTCCTATATATCACCAGATAAGTTTTATAGGTAGCAAATTCATGTTAGTCATGCAGACAATAGCGGAATTACCGTAACATGGACATGTAACCGTAGCCTAGCAACCTAACCATAAAGCCTGGTTCCCATGCCACCGCGATATATTAACTCAAATCGTCCAATATATCCAAACAGTCGAATTATCATTCTATTCGATATTTTTTATTTATTCCTATCTGATATCCAACAGTATTTTACTCACCATCTTCATATGAATTCAAACTGTTTCCATCTAAAAATGGAGAGTGTTACATTGAATGAAAAGTAATAAATACATTTGCATTCGTATATATACTGCATGGAGAAAGTAAAAAGAAGAATGTACCTTAACCTGCACAAAATCATGCATGAAAAAATGAACAATCAAGTATATATGAATTTCGAACATCACGTTAAACTATCTAAGTTTCATTGTTAACACAATCCTTTTCTAGTAACATGAATCATTGTTTTTATTATAAAAGATATTCTTATCCGGCATAGATAAAAAAAGGTACATGTTTGGGTCAGTCGTTTGGGTTGGTTTCCTTTTTTTTTGCTTTCATAACTATTTACGTAATATCAAAGGAAGAAGTTATTTCCAGTTTTCAACCAGAAACAAAACAGGATGAAATTATAACTCGAAAGCCAAAATAGCTGATTACGAGAGGTATTTGGTACCCTGTACCCGGTTTGGAAACAAAAATATCATAATTGCATTCATAATAATTTTCAAAATGTCATCAAAGTCAAAATCAATTAACTGCTCAAAATGTAATCAAAAAGGAAACGTTTCAAATATTTATACGTGTATATTATAGCACATTTTAGACAGTTGATGAGCCAATTTTCACATGCATGGATTATCTACGCTTGTTTATGACGTTACAATCTGACACTCTTGAAAAAATGATTGTACAAAGCTTACTCAAAGCTTTTCTTTTCAAGAAAACCAATACGCAATAGAATTTGTTCTAATATGGATGAGTTGCTAATGAAATTCTAAAGCGGTTGAAACTTTGAATTGTGCATGAATGATGGCTTCCAAAAATTATGGCAAATGCAAAGCACCTAGCAAGCTGTCAGGCCGCTATAACCACATTTCTTGATAGTACAAAATATTATAGAAGACATGCATTTTCGTCATGTATTCAGTTTCATCACATGAATTAAAGCTCTTCACACACGAAACACATACCTAATCCATGGTCTTCACTTTGACTCTCTTTCATTCGTTTTAGAGCTTGCTGCATCGTCTTCAACTTAAATTACACCAATTTAATATATTTTTTAAGTTGACTCGGATAAAGATGTAGCTATTAAGAATATTCAGCGAAGTCATGAAAACGCCAACATTTTAAACACATGGATAACATCGTTAGTAATTCAGTCATATGTCTCACCTTGGAGAAAGATTTTTGATAGATTAACTTTCTAGATTTCTTAACATTTTTACTAGCTTTCGGGTCATTGGCCAATTTCTGTGGAAAAAATACAATACGATAATCCTATTTAGTAACTCAATCAAAGAAACTTTGATATTTCTAATAAAGCCTGGTTCTCAGTCAGCGATTTAAAAATTAAAAAATGGGTACATGTGTATGGGGGCAAAACACGTGATAAATGGGCTAATAGAAACAAAAACACAAATTGGAATACACTTCATTGCCAAAGAGACGCCTGATTGTGGGCTAAGAATAGCCCGCAATGAGGGAAGCCTGATCAGCAACGAAAACGTATTACAACCAGTTTTGATGTAAACAAAGAAATGGGAGTCGTATTACTATGGGTGAAGTGGCTTAAATGAAAGAGAGCCTTTCATTTATGCCAGAGGGATGAAGAGTACCAAGACTGTGGATGAGTTGCATTTCTTGTCGTTTACGGCTATCGTTAGTACCGGAATTGGGACAGAGGGCTCTAATTTTCATTTCCGTGACACAATGATTACCAGAGGTAAAGTTTCTGGCAACAGGCTTGGTGTTATCGTGGTGGTTAACCGACCTACCGTGTTCACCAAACCTTACCCTTAGAGATCTTCCAGTTTCACCGATATATAGTAATTCACATTTGCTGCGTGGATGCAATAAATGAGGTTGGAAAAGAGGCATGTGAAATGGTGCCTGATGAAAAACTGTGAATTGGGAGCCGAATTAACAGTGCTGGAATCGGTAGATGAGCTTGTTTTACATTGGCCAATGCCACATGGGAATGTGCCATTGGGCTCTGAAAAGTTTTGCTGTAGCAAGCTGTGTCCCAATGCGTTGTTGTGCCGAAAAGAGACTAGGGTGTTATCGGTGAAAATCGAAGATGTCTCGGGATCATTTTGCAGGATATAAAAATTCCTAAATAAGATATCCCTAACAGCAAAATTGAAAGGATGATGTGTTAGAACTAAGGGAGTAGAATTATTGCTAGGGGTGCTAGAGACAGAGTCTCTAAGAGTGTCTAAGCAGGAAATGTCAGAGGCCTTAGATAAGGCAGTGTCAAAAGAAGGGAGAGATAGCCGCGCCCGACAAAAAATGTTTTTATCTCCAGACATTTGGACTGGAAGTCATCATCTTCACTGCAAAGGCGACGGAGATGAAGGAATTGTGAGAAGGGGATAGACCTCTTAGTGTGGCTGGGGTGGAAGGAAGAATATAAGAGATAGCTATGGGAGTCAGTGGGCTTGTAGAACACTGAGGTAGAGAGCCTATTGCCATTGATGGAAACTAGGATATCTAAGAATGATACACTGGTCTCACTGCTCTTCCATCCCTCTGGCATAAATGAAAGACTCTTTCATTT